ACGATAGTCAGGCACGAGCTGAATGGAGTGCTCGACGTCACGCATCGGTGGGATGCCGGCGTACGAGAACGACGATGGGAAAACGTCGTGGTACTCTCGGATGAGGTCACGAACTGCGGGCTTCAAGTCAGCCGTATATCGTGCGAGTTCCTCAGCGTCAGCGTCAGCGCGCGACGGCGGGGTGGACTCGACGGACGGCGGAGGGACGGAAGTAGAGATAGGAGTCATGGAGATAGAGGGAGGATCTGGCTCCAGAGGGATGAGCTCGGCGTCGGGACAGGGTGGATCATAGTGTAAGAAATGCGTCACGTCCACCATAAAGAAGGTGACGTCGTCCTGTCGAATGAAGTGAGCGAACTGCCGAGGCGAGGTGACAGTGATAGAGGGAGATGGTGTGGGCACTAAAGGCTCCGGGGGAGGAGGATCGGGGCGTGGTGTCGCCGTGGTACCTATGAAAGGTACGCGATATGTCTGTCCACACTTCGTTTTGAGAACGAGAGTGTTGGTCGCCCAATCGGCCTCGGTGCTGCGGAACCRACGAGACCACGGAGTGCCGAGAATGAAGTCGTACCCCGTCTCCATCACATCGAAATGTGCAGAGGAGCGGTGGCGACGAGACGCCGGGGAACGCTCAGCCGGCTCGAGAGTGAGGAAGAAGGGAAGGTCGGTGACCGTCTGATCGAAGAAGCGTTGGGTCTTGTCATCCCCTAGGGTAACGGAGATGGGAGTCGGAGACCCTGTCGTGGGTAAGCGGGCTTCCTTCACCACGTGTGGGTGAATGAAGTCGTCCTGAGAACCGGAATCCCACAGCGCTGAGTACACCCTCGTGGAGGTCCCGAGTCGTACGGGGATGATCGGGAGGGTGCGATCAGGGTCAGAGAGGATGGCGAGAAGGCGACGCAGTGCAGCGACATGGAGGGTGAGTCGCTCCTGACGAGCCTGGAGCATGCTCAAGTCCAAAAGAGAGGACACAACGTCCTCGCGAGTAGCAAGATGCTCGCTGCAACGGGCTGAGCGAATGGCTCGACGCGTCGGTAGTCGCGGCGGGGGAGGAGGGGAGACAGTGGTCTGCGGAGGCGCAGACGGTACTGCGACAGAGGGCTGAGTACACTCTGTCGAGTCTTGCGATACCTCAACTCCAGTAGCGAGAGGGGCAAACCGCGACGAAGATGTCGGAAAGCCCACTACTGAGGAGGGTGCAGGTGTACACTGCACCATGGCTAGGAGGCGCCGCGGGGACGTGAGGCGCCGGGGGGGACTGAGCACGAAGCTAACGAGAAAGGTCAGCGTAGTGGCGGTCGAGGGCGGTAGTGTAAGGGCACCGCAAACACCCACTCCGGCCCAGAATAGTCGCGCGCTCCTCAGGGGAAAGGACACCACGAGGAGGGACGAAGCCCTGAGGGAGGTCCTCCTGAGGGACCTCAGGGGGCGATGCGCCAGCGTGACCGGGGCGGCTGCGTGCCCGAGAGAGGGCAGAGAGCGCGAGCTGAAGGCGCTCAACTGCAGGGAGGGTAGAGTCCTCCAAGTGATAGTGGACGGCCTCGCAGARATCGAGGTCGTTGCTGTGGTCGCCCTCAGATGACAGTGGGGCAACAGCGTCCTGCTCACCATACTCCAGCGCACTGAAGCGGCGCGAGAAGTGGCGGCCCTGCTGCGTGGAACAGCGGGGGCGACCGCGGAAAGGGGAACGGCGCTGGGAAGTGCCGTGAGAGGAGGAGGAGGCGTGGCCCGTGCGCTGGGGATGGGAGGAGGAGGCGGGGTGAAGACGGGCTCGCATCCGCTGGTGGTCTCTGGCGCCCTCGTAAGCCTGTGGGGCCGATGTGAACTCGTACCGCCATAGCTCGGAGCGGTACTCAAGTGGAAGGCTGGCCAAGAAACGATCGATAAGGGCAGCCTCGGGGAGGAACGCCACGTCGCAAACGAGGCGGGCGTCCTGAAAGACCTGGATGTGGCGATCCAGGCCGACAGTGCCACCAGAGTCGGACCAGCGTGTAGTGACGACACGCTCGAAGGCGTCAGTCACGTCGTATCGGGCTCCGAAGCGATCCTCGAGGAACGCCTGGAAATCCACGAAGGTCGGAGTCCAACCCTCACGAAGGGAGTAAGCATAGAAATCCTCCCAGGCCTCGAAAGGACCGCCACGCAGGCGYGTGGAGAGGTGACCCACCCACGTCTCGGGTGTGGCGCCCATGAGCTGGAGTGCGCGGGTGGCAGACTGCAGCCACCGAGACACGCGTATGCCTGTACCGTCATACAAGGCAATGTCCGACAAGCGCATGAGTGGTGCGCCACCGTTTTGGCGGCGAGGGGATCGAGGAGCGGAGGCCTGTGCCACTGCTGAGTAAGTCGGCGCAGGTCCTGGAGAAAGGGGCGCAGCTGACTGTGCGCCCGGGCCGCATGGGGGAGCGGCGGTGGCAACAGCGGCAGACTGCGAGGGTGCTGCGGTAGAAGAGGTCGCAGCAACCGCGGGAGTAGGAAGAAGGTAGGAAGGAGTTGTATAGGGCGCTGAAAGCGAGCCTGCATGGGAGGAAGGGTAGAGGAGGTAGGGGGTGCGCCCGAAGGCGCGGCCACCTATGAGGGTGGGGGTGGCTAAAGGCGTAGGAGGGCGAGGTTGGCCCGGAGCTGGGCAATCTCGTCCTCGAGACCTCGAACATAGGTCGTGCGAGGGGTAGCAGGGGGAAGAGTGGAGGAAGTGGATGCACAAGCGGCGCAGGGCATCCCAGAGGGGGAAGAGCCAGGTGGCGCTGCGGTTGTGCGAAGGGGGGGGAGGAGCGGGGCACCCGGAAACGCTGAGACGATGGTAACGGGTTGTGGTCCCGTGGCCGTCGTAACCGAAATCTGGGCCGGTGCACCCGTAGACTGAGGAAGGGCCTGACTTGTGGCGGCCGTCGAGCTAGGGGCATGGACAGTCACCAAAATGGCCGGGTCGGGGGCGGCAGAGGAGGAAACTCCGCCGTGGCCACCCTGTCGGAGAACTAGGGACCCGGACTGAGAGCCAGGAGAAGAGAGAGGATGAGGAGAGGAAGGACGACCAGCGTCCTGGAGTTGCTGCACGCCGGCGGCAAGGGTCGCCACCTGCGCTTCTAAGGGCCCGAGGGTCGCGGGTTGCGCCTGGATGGGCGCGAGGGTCGCGAGTTGCGCCTGGATGGGCGCAAGGAGGGAGGTGAGGAGGGTGTGTAGATCCCCCTGGGGCTGATGGCCCTGGTCCGCCGGCACGGATGTGGAGCCCGATGTCGTGGTCATCGCCGTATCGACGGCGTGTGACGCACCGTCGGCAATGGGGAGATGACGGACCGGACTGGAGGGGGGCAGAAGAGGTCCGAGTGAGCGGAGGGCGTAGGGGGAAGTCCGCAGTAGAAAGCGGCGAACAGCGCTAGCAAGGCTAGCACGGGCGCCGTCAAAGGGGGGGGGGTGGTTCGGGTCCAGGGTGCCCGAAGAGGACGGGGAAGTAGGGGGGTTTTGAGGAACCCTAGACTCTACAAAACCCCTAAGAAAACCCTAACCGAGGTTTAAGGCTAGGGTAGGGTACCGGTGACCTAATCAAGAAAGTAA